AGCCATCTGTGCTCAGGAAATACTTCTGACAGGGCTGAGGCAATATGATATGAGGGATCAAACACAGGTGAATTGCATGCAAGGCAAGCACTCCACCCCACTGAACTATTTCTTTAGTCCCTGGTTTCTAAATAATTGAATTCAGCTCTTAATTCATTTGGGCCAGTATTAGATCCACTATATATGATAACTCAACTTCAGCATATTTCAGAACTGCTGAAGAAAGTCTAATGTATTAGTACAGATTATATAGCACTCGCATTGTGCTTTCAGATCATCTTCCTCAATGAGGCTAATTTGAAAGTTTAACCAATATCACTCATGACACATTTCCAAATTCATTAGCAGTGTTAGTGAATTCTAACATGTTCCTAGTTCTTTGGATTTCATTGTATTTATTTTTGTTTATTTATTTTTTAAAGTTTGGGTTTTATTTTATTTATTTATTTTTGCTTTTTGGGGCACACCCAGCGATGCACAGGGGTCATTCGTGGTCTGCACTCAGGAATTATCCCTGGCAGTGCTCAGGGAACCATATGGAATGCTGGGAATCGAACCTGGGTCGGCTGTGTGCAAGACAAATGCCCTACCCGCTGTGCTACTGCTCCAGCCCCTGGATTTTAATAATGAACTTTCCTCTCTGTGGAGATTGACAGTAAGTATCCTATCATAATTTAAAACCTTACAAATTCTCCCTAATTAGATCTGAGACTACATCCAAGAATGACAGAGACTTAAGGAGAGCAGGTGGGGTGGGACTAGAGATATGGCCCTAAGAAAAGAAATAATCCCCTATAGAATATCACAAGGGTAGATGGTGCCTGATAACCTGGATAACCTAGGCCTTGACCTAGGCCTTATCTTGATCTGGACACAAAATAACCATTTTAGCATCCTCTCCCTCCTGTTCTAATGAACAATATCCTTGGAACACAATAAAGAAATGCTGTTAAAAGCACATAAAAGGGGAAATGTTTCTGACTTTCTTAAATCCTTCTTTAGGAAACCACTCCCATAAAAAGGAAGGAGATTTTCTGCCTTCCAGTCCCTTTCCTTTAACAAAGTCTTTTTTGAAATCATTTGACCTCTAGACCCTTGCTTTCAATTCTGACTGCTTAAGGACAAAAACCGGAGCACCTGAGCCCCCTATAACACTACCAATACTATCAATTCAGGTTTATTTACATATAGAGGCAGTTCTGAGTTTCTAACAATATTTGGGCCTAGCTCTCCTATGTTCTATTTCTATACTTGTACAAACTATAGTAGCCCATTCTTCTAGGCTTCAGCCTCTTAGACTCTTAAGAGTGAAGAAGGAATATATAAACTAGTCAACCAAAAGTAAAAGAAACTTCCAGAGAAACAGTACAGAGGGTTGTGCACCTGACTTGCATGTGGCTGACTGGGTTCTCTCCCTAGCACAGCATATAGTCTCCACCCTTCCAGGAGTGATCCCTGAGCTCAGAACCAGGAATAAGTCCTGAGCACTGCCAAATGTGGTCGATAAACTGAAAATAATAATAGTAACAAGAATAAAAAATTTTAAAGGAAGAAAATTTCTAATTATCTGAAAACAGAACTTCAGACACAGATAAAAATGAAGTAAAAAAATGTATAATCGGGGCTGGAGAGATAGTACAGCGGGTAGGGCTTTTGCCTTGCACACAGCTGACCCAGGTATGTTTCCCATCATCCCATATGGTCCCCCAACACTGCCAGGAGTGATTTCTGAGTGCATGAGCCAGGAGTAACCCCTGTGCATCGCCAGGTGTGACCCAAAAAGCAAAAAAAATAATCATTATGTCTGAAAATAAAATGAAGTTTAAAGACAACACTAGAAAATTTAAAATAAATTTGATAACTACAAATTAAAATGGCTCCCCTTGTCAAGGAAAGATGGATATGCAATTAACAATCCCAAAACAAAAGGTGTAAATGGCTGAAACAGTAATTTTGAGAGGGGCATTAAAAAATCAGTTTAACCTCAGTAAAAAAGCAAGGAGGGACAAGACTATATAGTTGTGAGGAGATAAACACAGACAAAAGATTTTATATTTAATTAGCTCTAAGACAACACTCTTTCTTATGTAGCCATATTCTTAGAGAACATAATAATCAAACCCTTTTTCAAAAAATAAAATTGTTCTAAAATCTTGCCAATTGAAAAATGAACCACAACCAGTGCTGGTGCGGATGTGGCGAGAAAGGGACCCTCCTTCACTGCTGGTGGGAATGCTGACTGGTTCAGGCCTTTTGAAAAACAATATGGACGATTCTCAAAAAATTAGAAATTGAGCTCCCATTTGACCCAGCAATACCACTCCTGGGAATATATACCAGAGAGGCAAAAAAGTATAGTCAAAATGACATCTGCACTTGTTTGTTCATTGCAGCACTCTTTACAATAGCCAGAATCTGGAAAAAACCTGAGTGCCCGAGAACAGATGACTGGTTAGAGAAACTTTGGTACATCTACACAATGGAGTACTATGTAGCTGTTAGAAAAGATGAAGTCATGAAATTTACATACATGTGGTACTACACGGAAAGTATCATGCTAAGCGAAATGAGTCAGAAAGAGAGGGATAAAAATAGAAAGATTGCATTTATCTGGGGAACATAGAGTAACAAAATAGGAGACTAACACCCAAGAATAGCCAAGATAAGTACCAGGAGGTTTACTCCATGGCTTGGAGGCCAGCCACACATGCTAGGGGAAAAGGCAGCTCAGATAGAGAAGGGAGCACCAAATAAAGGGTGTTGGGAGGATCCTCCCTGGATGGAAGAAACATGCTGAAAGTAGACTATAGACCGAACATGACTGCCACTCAATGCCTCTCCTGCAAACCACAGCACCCAAAAGGAGAGAGAGAACAAAAGGGAATGTCCCCCCATAGAGGCAGGGTGGGATGGGGGGTTGGGGGGTAGGAAGGATACTAGGATCTGTGGTGGTGGAAAATGGGCACTGGTGGAGGGATGGGTACTTGATCATTGTATAATTGAAACCCAAGCACAAAAATTTTTAAGTCTACAACTGTACCTCATGGTGTTTCACTAATAAAAATTTTTAAAAAATGAACCAAATAAGAGGAAAGTAAAGAGAACTAAATCAGCTTAAATACAGACCGGTCTTTGCTGCTATCTCAACTTTAAGCATAAGTTTCAGAAGTGATGATAATGAAACTTAAATGTTTAAGTAATTTTATCAAGAGAATCTTTTAGGAACTAATTTCTTATAGTAAAGAAATATGCTGAGTCAGCAGTTCCCTTATTTTTCACTTCAATTCTCCTACTCCCTGGCTAAGAATAATAATTTAATGTTTTAACTAAAATATGGCATGATATGGTTTTTCTAAAATTATATTCATGTATCCATTTAGGAAAATATTTGGAATGGGGCATACAAATTCTTAGCAACTGATTTGTTATTTGTGATTATGGACTTCCCCCTTTCAATGGAATAAACACAGTATTACTCCAAAAAATAAACTTGCCCAATTCACATTTATTTCTAGCTTTGATGATAGTATACCATCAACACTTTGTCAGTAAACAAATGCTTGCTCTTGAATTTAGAATTTGCTCTAATTTACCTTTATATTCCTCAAAGGAAAAGCATCAGCAACTACCTTCTATGGAGTTCTAGCTACTTATTCTCTCTGTATCATGCTAAATATTACCCAACAATTCTTAGATTTAATCCTTACAACCCTCACAAGAACATTCTTTCTTTACAGGTAAGAATATAAGTTGTAAAAATTGTGCGTATTAGGTGGCAGTAAGATTTGAAATTTAGGTCAGACTATAAAAGTCTGTTTTTTTCCCTTTCTTTCTGTTTTTGTTTTGGGGCTACCAGGGCTCAGCTGTCCAGATCTGGCAGTGCTGGGGGACCATAAGCAGGACTTATGTAGGACTATAGGACTGGAGTCCACATGCTAGGCAAGTACTATCTCTCTGACTCCCAGATCTAGATTTAAATCTAGATTATTATTGGCAATGGAACCTTGGGAAAGTGACAGAAGTCCTCTTCACTTTTTTTTATATCTTCAAAATGGACAGCTTGCCATCCTACTTAATTAGTTATATTGTTAAATAAAGAAAACTGTAGCTTTTCCCTTGATCACACTGAAGGAATTCTATTTGGTAGGAAGTTATAAATTCTTCTTATACCAAGAACATCAGGAATAATGAAACTAAAATTTATAAATACCAGAGAATTTAAATGTCATTAAGTTTGTGAATTATTCCAATATTAAAGTATTATATAAATATGAACTGGAGCTGGAAGAACTATAGAAATTTTGTGAAATTTGTAAATAAAGTTGGGACGATCAGAATAGATCGAGTTTCTGAGCATGGGATTAATATATGATTCCATTTATAGCTGTCCTAGGCAAAGTTCCCCTATTTGGGAGCAAAAGTAATTGAAAATCATCACCTTAAAATTAAAAGTAAAGCCCTCACACACATACAAAAAAAATGCATGCTGCTTTTCTCTTAAAATTAGTTTTAGATTCTACTCTCAAGATCTAATTACTTCAAATAAACTTTTCCAAGGCTTCTCTGTTCTTTGAAAAAATAAGTATGTAATGAGAAAGCCATAGAAAATGTGTTAAAATATGTGGCACTGTTTTTAATAACTTGGCTGAAACATAACTGTATAGTTATAATTAAAAACAAAAATAAATATGAGTTATAAAAGAAGCAATGCCATTAACTTAAAAGGATTCCTTATAAACTATTTAAAAATTTGAACATCTTATTTGCTTCATTAATATTCAAGACATGTACATCTATACATACTATAAATTGCTAATTTCAACTCTAAATTTAGTATGACATTTATAGGTCTTACATGCAATATGCTGTTAACACTTAACTGAAATTTTTAAAATGGAGCTTCAATGATCACTAAATGAATCAGTGACACTTAAGGAAGGAAAGTGTTTTTGAAACCCCCAAAATATCTAAACCAAAAAGGTATTCTTGAACATGCATACCTTAAGTCATCATTTGGCTCTTTTTTTCCTGGAAGTTCCATGCGCTTGGAGTTTGCTGAGTGATGCTTTTTAGCAACATTGGGTTCGTGGTTTATCATGGGGGCCTCTGAAGTAAGTGAGAGTTCCCCTTCCATAGAGACTCCAAAGAGGTCTGGGTCATCTTGAATAACATCAATTAAGAGGACATCATCTTCATATGCTTTAAGAATATCTGGAAATTCCACTTTAATTTCTGAAAAGTTCTGAGTCAGTGTTCTACCACTAACTTCAGAGGAAACTGGTTCAAATGTTTCTTGTTCATCAGAGCAGAAGGAAGAATGCTTCTCTGTACACCCGGGATTATAAGAGAAAGTATTATTTTCAACTGTCAAAGAAACAGCTTCCTTATGAGAAATAATACTGCCTGGTTCAAAGATTTGATTAGAGGAATTATCATTGCTTTGCTTTAAAAAGCTTGGGGAAATACCATAAGAATTCTTACTATAGTATGAGTCAGAACAAACTTGCATTGGAGTTAAACTATTTTGTATGCTCAAAGATTTAGATCCTGAAGATACTGTAGAAACATTTTCTTTATTTCTACTCTGTCTGACCTCTGCTCCAGATAAATTATCAAGAAGCTCTAGGGGACTACATGCTTCTCTCCCTGATGACTTGGCATTTACTTCTTTTCTCTTTTCTGTCTTATTCTTAAGTAGAGGAATTTTAAAATTAGTCAGACGTCCGGTATTCAGTATCTTAACCAAATCTGGAACAAGTGTTTGCTTAGCAACGCACGTTTTTCGATTTATAGTTTTGCCTGTAGAGTTATTAGCTTCCTGGACATCTTGGGAAGTCAAATGAAGTTTTGTTAAATTCACCCTATCTTTTTTTCTACTTCCTGTTAAGCTCTGAGTTACACTAAACTGATTATCTTGAGTAGGTCGTACCTCTGACCTGCCTCTATTCTGTTCCTCTGAGATCATCTTTTTATTGTCATTATTTATAGGCTCCTTTGTATTAATTACAGTGGGTTTAACTGCAGAAACTGAAGACAAGGAATTTAAATCAGAATCTAATTTTTCTGTACTCATAGATTCACTGTTTGTTTCAACTATAGAAGTTTGTAACAATGATTTGGATTCAGTTACAAGAGTTTGATTCATTTGGTGTTTAAGAAAATCATCCTGCTTTAAACTTTTCTGAAAGCAATTTGATTCTGGCAAGGAAGCCTTTTTCCAACAATGGGCAGTTACTCTAGCACATGAATAAAAAGGCCAAATTCTTTTACCAGTCATTGGTATTGTTCTGCGACAGCTTAACTTCAATTCTTCAGCTTCAATTCTCACATCTTCCCGTGAAGATCTCTTTTCACCAGGATGGTAATCACTGGGTAATTTCATTATTGAGCTTTTCATTGACTGAAAATACTCTTCTGGTTCCATGCTTATGCAGTCTTTGGACTCTAAGGCATCCTTTGATTCTTCTTTCAAGACTGGCCCAAGGGTCTTCTGAAATGTAGCATTTATATGATGTTCAGGACTTGTTTTGTTTTCTCTTATTTCTGTAAGATTTACTAAATGATCCATTTGAGGGAATGTATTATGGTTTAATTTTCTCAAAACTTTTAAAGGACTTTTTTTATCTTCTAAAATTTTTGCTTCTGTACATTCTACATCTGCTTTATTTTCAGGTAATGCCAATTCTGACTTGTTATACACATTAGGCAAGTTCATCTCAGCAACTATTTCATTTCCTTTTTCAGACAATTTCCTTTTCCTAGATTTACTCCAAACACTGCTTTCCTCTACTGGATATTCATTTTTTTCACTTTGAAGGCAGGAAAGCAAGCCATTGTTTTTACTTTGATATAAATCAGTTTCTTCAGCCAGTGACTTATGTACTCCCAATAAGTTTTCTTCAATTTTAATAGGGTGAGAAATATTATTTGTGTTACTCTTATCTGCAGGACTCCTAAGATTTTCTTCCTTTAACTTCAAGTTTTCTGGTACTTGCATGCATCTATTATCAGGCTTGTATGCAAGACTGCTTTCATCATTAGAATCCTTGGATTGGGGAAAACTGTAATCACATAATTCTGAAAGAGAATAATTTTCTATTCCAGGTGACAAGTTGTTACAAGAATATTTTGGTGTATTCTTGCAAAGTTCATCTTGAAATTCAGCCTTAATATTTTGAATAGTCTTATTTTCCGTCATTTTGAGAGATTGGATTTCTAAACTTTTAGGTTTTTTAATTCGAATTCGTCTTTTAATACTGTCTACAAAACCTTCCTTATCCAAAGATTGCAAGAAAACCATATTTTGAGATTCACTGCACTCCACTGCTTGAAAAGATTCCGAACTGGTTAATGATTCCTTTCTTACCAGGTCAATCCCTGGCTGTGGATCATCACTTGAGGCTTCAGCAATTTTTCTTTTTTCCTTGGCTGATCAAAACAACAAAACATACCAGAAAAACATTTTATATTGAGAAGAAAAATACACCTTAAAAGAAAAAATTGTGAAGCCATCCACTGTTATTTCCCCGAATTGCTGCATGGAAATATGCATGTGTTTTAAAATTCAAGAATTTGTTAAGGAGCTACATATAAACACGTACATATTCTAAAATGGCTAAATTACCTTTATGAACATTATTTCATACTGGCCAAAATGGATCGCTAGTAGGAATACCTCTCATAGTAATTCTTACCAAGGGGTCCTTACTGGGCCCAGATAATTTTTTGCCTTTGTTTTTAGATCACACCTTGCGGGCGCTCAGGAATCACCCCTGACTGAGCTTGAGAGACCATATATGGTGTTGGGGATAGAACGTGGGTTGGTAGCTTGTAAGGCAAGTGCCTTACCCAGAGTACTATAGCCCCAGCCCCCGGGCAGAAGAATTTTAAGAGAATTCTCTGGTAAGAGAATTCATGGGCTTCCCCCCCCCCCCCTTTTGGTTTGTTTTTACCCCTTCCGGTCAACCTTATGCATCAGTAAAACAAACCCCCACTACTTCAAGCTCAAAGTCCTGAGACTCGGCTGAAAGCAGTCTGAGGTGCAAAAGCCTAAGGGGGATATAGCACAGAGCGCTTTCTTACTGTGTCTTCCGGAATGCAAGGGGAAATCCACCTCCTTCGCTGCTTCTAAGCCCCGCAGGTTGGACGGCTTGGAGGGGCCCGTCGGACTGCCAGGCCCGTCCAGTCGACACTTTGCAGCTTTTTCGGCGCCGGATGCCTGACTGGACTTCTCACTTTCCACCTCTTCTCTCCTGGACACCAGGGCCACCATTCTCTTTTGCCTGCCCTCCTTGCGCCCCGCGGCCTCAGGGCCAGTGCCTCCTGCCTGGCCTAGCCCTGGCCTGCGGCCCCGTTTCCTCGGGCCTCGTGCTTCACCTTCACGCCCCAGGGTTGTTGCGGGGCCAGACAGAAGCTGCGGCTGCCGCATCCGCCCAAGGCGTCCCTCCCTACCCGCTGGGGCAGACGCGACCCCTCGCAGGAGTCTACGGGCCGCGCGAAGCCTTCTCCCGCCGCCAGGCATCCACAGCCCTTCGTCTGGGCCCGAGCCGCCCACCACTGCAGCCCGAGGCCGGAAGCGGAAGTAGCATTTGAGGGGCAGCGGCAGGGGCGGGGCAATGGGGCCAATCCACCAACGGGCACCCGAGTTTCGGGCCTGCGCGTCAGGCGCCCTGAATGGCTTTCCTCCGCGTCTATGGACAGACGCCGCGAGTGGCTTTCTGCAGCCTCTGTGGTGGCGGCGTCCCACCGCAAGGCTCCTTGTCGTGGGCTGGAACCAGTCAGGGCCTCCACTCCCCAAGGTGTCCTGCACCCTTCCGAAGTACTTGAGAAGTCTAGGGTAGCCCAGTTCTGTTTCTGCTGCGTGTCTCCTGTGGTACTTTTTGGGACTGCCTTGCCTCGTGAGGGTGCCAGGGTTTGAAGCCGGATGGACTGTGTGCAAGGCAGTCACCCTATTGGCAGTACTGTCTCTCTGGCCCTAAAGACGGCAATCGTTTTTCTTCTGCTGTGTTTGGATCACACCCGGTGGTACTCACTCCTCCTGGAGGCGACCCTTTAACCCAGGTCGGTGACGTGTGTAAAGCAAGCGCCTTAGTCACTAGACGATCTTCTCGCCTCAGTTTTTGTAAGTTCTCGAGGCTTCTGTGTGCACGTGAATCGCTCCCTCCGCAGCTGAGCTAAGGGCTTGTTAGGGGAGGGGCAGGAGGCAGGGCATGTGGAAGAAGGGACCCCAACTTCACAAGTGTGCTCCAGGGGGCTGGAGGAGCTATTGTACAGCGACAGCCTGGGTCTATCCCTAAAGCTCCACCAGGGGTGATCCCTGAGCAGACAGACATGCTCTAGCACCTGAGCCACATTTCCTGCCCCATCGACCTATTTTTGTTTGTGTTACCATGTTCCTTCAGTTAAGCTTTCTCCTGCTAAGTCACATCTCACTCATATAAGGGGAACCTAGCATTTCCCAGTTCGATCATTTGCGAGCCTCCTTTATTCAGAGACTAACCCTTTTGGACATCCAAACAATGTGGTTTGCAGGATTTACTGCTATTTCTGATGCCGCCCTTGAAGGTTTCATTTTCTCACTAGTTTCTATAGGGGAAACTAGCATATTCCTGGATCTGTGTTCAGATGTCACTTCTGGCAATGCTGAGGGACTGTTTACAGTGCCAGGGTTCAAACCAGGGTCTGTTACATATAAGACAAGTGCCTTAGCTCTTGTATTGTCTCTCCAGCCCTGCACATCTCTTTTTCAGTTGTGATGCTCACTGGGGTGGAGGGGGTTGGGGGAAGAGAGGTAATATCCTTTAGTTGTAGAGCTCACATACTCTTTACTGTGGTGTGATTAGGCTGGAAATGATTGGCAGTGCGAAGGATCACACATAACAGAGCTGTCAGGGCTGCCAAGAACTGAAGCAGGGGTTGGTGCACGTGGGTGGAACTAGGGATCCAACTTAGAGTTTCATGCTTATGAAGCAAGTACTTTAACTACAGACTTAATTTTTTAAAAATCTTTTTATTTATTTATTTATTAAAATTTTTTCTTAATTTTATTGAATCACCATGAGATAATTACAAGCTTTTATGTTTGGGTTACAATCACAGAATGATCAAACACCCATCCCTCCACCAGTGCACATTCCCCACGACTAATATCCCCAGTAATTTTTTTAAAAAATCTTAATGATGAATTTTATCTCTTAATTTGCATTTCTTCAAACCTAGAAATTGTTTCTGCCTCAAAGATTAAGAGCTGTATTAAATTTATGCATTTTCTAGTTTAGTCAGGATGTCAGGAATTACCTTGTACTATCAGAGACAAATGCTTTGTTATTTAAATACCAAAGTAAAATTTCCCTCTTGAAAATAAAAAGAAATTTTACATAAATAAATTGCTTATTCCAACTATGTATAGCAGTAATTCATCTCTTTAATGCATCTGTTCTGGCAGACCAGTCAATAGACTGGTACTTATAATCAAGATGGTAGCAGAGTGGTTTTTCACCTTTTTACACCTGCAGATTACCTCTGGTCCATGGATTTTGCCCTGGGTGGAAAAGGGAGAGGCAGCCCTCAGTTTAACTCTGTGTAAAGAAAGTTTTTCCTTTCACCAATGCAATGATGATATATTTTTCATTTCATTTCATCATCCTGTTATTCGTCGATTGCCTCGAGCAGGCCCCAGTAACGTCTCTTTCATCCTAGCCCTGAGATTATATTCAAGGCTCTTTAGGAGAATGAGACCCATCATTGTTACTGGTATTTGGCATATTTGGTACGCCACGGGGAGTTTGCCAGACTCTGCCCTGTGGGCAGGCTACATTCGATAGCCTGCAAGTTTGTCCAAAGTAGGAATGAGATAATAAGATGTCATAAAAAGATGTGAGGGCGATCTGGCTGTGACATCTGTCACCCCATTGATTGCCAGGGTTGATTCGGCTGATCTGGCTGGCTAGGCGGGTGTCCCCTTCCTCCCTCACCGCTCCATGTGCATCCCTCCCGAAGCTGCGCGCTCAGTCGAAGAGGACGGCCTTCCCCGATAGAGACGGACCGGTCTTCGGTCGAGGGTATATGAGTAGCTGCGCTCCCCTGCTAGAACCTCCAAACATGATGATATATATTTTTAAAAAAAGAAATAGTGCTAGAGGGAAGAAAACCCCACCTCGGTTTTAGAACCAGCCACTGATCCTAAATATTTCACTCTAGAGGTTTCATTTCAGTTTTTTTAGAAATCGAAATAAACTTTTTATCCACTAGAGGGCCCCAGTTTTAGGACCACCAAGAATGATGCACCACTTTTTCCTCAGGCTCTGGAAACTCCATGCTCTTTAATCTTAAGAGCCTTTGATTGTGTCACCCAGTCGAAGAACTCAATTACTCAATGTAATAAGTCCAAAATGAACACAATAGAAATTTATGAGCAGAACAGGACCTTCAAAGTAGTCTAGTCTAACCTCTTTGTTTTACTACTGAGAGGCAGGAGAGGCTAAGTCATTTACAAGTACTGTGAATCAATCATTTCTTAAGTGCTTCCTCTTGGTTGCCGCTTACTTGCCTGCTCTTCCAAATGACCACTTTTCAGGAGAAAAGAAACTCTGACGTGAGAGAGAGAGAAACTGAAGCAATCACAGATAGATTTTGTTGCTTCTGCTGGTTGCCAAACACTTGTCCAGATTCTCACCTGTATGTCTATTAGGAATCTTTTATTTGTCCAGCCAAATTAGTGTCATCCGTGTTATTTTTTTTTGTCTCAAGGAGGAAAGAATATATATTTCACTATTAAGTGCTGGATAACCTCAGAAAGGAGTGGCTTATGCCAGTGATAGCATTACATGGATGCTTGCTGAAATGTTTTTATTTGAAGTATGATAGGTATGTCCAAGGGATGCCTTCAGAAGAAGCCAACCTGATATTAACTAATACTTCTAGCTTCAGACCTTGAGAAACTGTTTTTTAGTTTTACAAGTCACACAGTCTGTGGTGCTTTACTATAACAATCCTAACAAATGAACACAATCATTTCAGTGACTCATAGATATCTTAGCCAGATCAAAACAATGAAAAGTTCAGGTAAGGATGAGTTTTGTTGTGGAGCTTGGTGCATGAATAGCTTTATTCTTCTGAGTCCCATTCCTTTCCTTTTGTAGAAAGTTGTTACAAACTTAGAAAAGGTGGTTCTAGGAAACCAATTATAGAGTCTTATCTATACTCCATCCAGTTGTAGTACTAGAACTGAGGCCTAACTAATACCACACAAAGCTAAAATGAACAATGGATGGGGCCTGGTTTCCTTCTACTTCTATTCAGGAAATTCAGAAGAGGAAAGATATGACCCACTGCTTCTATATTGAGGTTAAGAAGACTGGCCAAAATGATACAACTGCATTTCTAGAATTAATCTGGACAAGAGGAAGGCATATGGTTCACTGCAGATCTGGGCCATATAGGGAAATACTTACACAGGCCATTTTGTTGCCTTCAGTATGGCCAGCTTGTAGGATGGAGTGACTTTCAGCAGGATGAAGTTGGATACTTAGGGGTTAACAGTTTCAAGGACTATGTGAAATTTGGATATCTATTGTGAGGAATGAGGGGTAACTCTGTGGAGGCCATGTGAAACAAGTTTGACTACCAGGGTCATCCCATAACCCCCTTCTCTGAGACAACTATTGAGGGAAGAAAATGAGAGAGAGACCTTGATGGCATTCAGTAAGGAAAGACGAACAGGTAGAAGGAAGAACTCTTCCTTATGAAGTTTTCCATCTTGAAGTAGAAATGAACCAAGAGAGGAGACAATGTAATGAAATGCCAACCAAGGTCAGACATCACATGCAACTGACAACCGAGGTCAGACATCACATGCAATTTCTGTAATTGAAACTGTCTATGTCCATAAGCAACAGACAGCTCTGGGTATCAGACAGTTCTAAAGCCTGCCCAAGATGTCATTCAGGCTCTGAAAAATATTACTCCTCACTTCAGGGGTCAGAGGAAGACAAAAACAAATTTTGATTTTGGTGCCAAACTTAAGTAATGCTTGCTCATTGTACAGGTTTACTTTTGTTTTGAAAATACTGTGACTTGAGTTTTATCTATGAGAGACATTTACTATCGCCCTGCCAGCCTTCCCAGAAATGGCTTGTTGCCCCTGCAGAATGCATAGATAAGGACGACATTAAGCTAATAGGGGTATTTTTCTCCGTGAGGACAGAGACTCAAATCTGTCTTTTCCAAGTTCCTCAGATCATGAAGTTTACCATTGACCCAAGAACCCTCTATGAATGTATTCATCTAGTGTTTTTTTTTAGGGGGAGTGGAGCATATTCAATCACTCTCAGGATCACTCATGGTGAAGCTCAGGGTACTACTTAGGGTGCTGGGTATTGAATCTGGATTGGCCACATTCAAGACAAACTCCTTACCTGTTGTACTATC